TAGCAAGTTCTCCTAGGACCTGTCCCAGGTGAACTCTGCTACTTGGCCAGCTTAGAGCCAAGAAGGTGGGCTTCCTATCTAAGAAGATGATGAAAACACAGGGTTTACATTGTAACTGTTGCAGTAAGTTGTGTTTATACACATATATGCACATGTATATAAATGACAGAATGTATGTATATTTACATATATTCTGTGCCAGCTAGCTTCTCATATATAAATAATATAATATATGAATCATATATATAAAATTATTATATTAATGCATATAATTGGGTTGTAGGTATTGATTGTTCCTGCTGCATTCTCGAATAAGGCCAGTGACATCAGGAGGGTGATGTCTTGACTTGCAAGTGAGTTGTATTTAAGTGAGAAAGAGCCATGCAAAGTCATCAGCCTGACTGTCTACTCCAGAATCATCAGAGTCCTGGGCAAGACACAGGTCAGGACCACTGGAAGTGGCCCCAGATGCAGGCAGAGGACCCTCATAATTTCTGACCAAAACAGAAGGTGCCTATTGCATGAGGGTAGTCCTCTGTAGCTAAAACAAATGATATCTGAAAGGAAGCATATCAGTCATTTATATATTTCTTTGAATTAATCAGTTCCTGAGAAGAAAATCTTGCAGGTCATGCAAAATTTGCTGGATGAGACGGGACAAATGTGTAATCCAATCTGGAGATAACATAATCTAAACTGAGATTTTGTCTAGGAGGGAAGACTTGGGTGAGAAGCTTAATGACAATCCTTTGGGTGGTAGAGAGCCACTGGGCATCACCTTCAAGAGGAAGAAGGTGAGAAAGAAATGTATATGGGGAAAGGAGTAAAAAGAAGACAGTTCTTGAAAACAAACTTTACCTCCTTCACGATGCAGTATAGGCCCATTCCTGTTTAAAATGTATTTGTGTGTCAGTACCCATGTGTATTTCAATATAGGATTGTTCCAACTGGGACATTCCATTATAACTCAGGAGGGGACTTTGTGCTGGCCTCTTTGGGGATGGTCTCAAGAAAGATTCTTTGCTCTAAATATTCCTCCCTGATTAAGGTAAAATGGTGAAGTATTTAAATTTGTGTTCCATTGATGGGACTGACCTTGAAGAGGACAAAAGAGTGGATTAAACAGGCCAGGTATCCTGAGGAAACTTGGTGCTGTAATTAAGCAATATATATTTTTGGTGTGCTCTACTTTCCTTTTCAGCATTCTTCCTGGGGGTATGCAGTGCCTCAGAATGCCCCCAAGCCTCATGGCCACACCCCACTTTATCCTACCCTCTCCAAATCATCTCTCTTTCACCTTTTACTCAGAGCCTTGCTCAGATGCAAAGGTTCTAACACATCCCTCCAATATGCTAGAGCAATGCTAGACTAATTTGTTCTATTATCCTAATGATTATTAATGTAATACTGTTCTCAGCCTAAGGAATTTGCAAGATGAATCCAACAGAGATCATTCTAGCACTATATAGTGAGTGAAGGGTAAGAGTGGGGTGATAAATTGAGATATTTGGGGGTTTTGGTGCCTGTACCTCAAATACTGATGATTTAATAATATTGTTCTATTGTTTAACCTTTTGCTGTCCACAAAATTCCTTCAAAAGTATTGTCATCTTGCCTCTCTTGATCCTCATCATACTGCTGTGAGATCGAGAGGGAAGGAATTATTATTTCCCATTTTTTGGCTGAGGAAACTGAAGCTCAAAAGTTATAATTTTTGCCCAGAGTTGCATACTATATAGGGACCTTCCTAGTCTGACACTGCTTAGGTCTGACCCTGTAGATGTGATATATTCTTTGAGGAAACTCTTTTTCATTTTTCTATGTTCCCATTTTAGGAAGCTTTCGTGCTCCAAGGGCAAACTTTTCTTAATCACAGATTCACTGATTTGGCTTCTGAGAAAAAACCAAAAAAACCAGCTCATATGCGGAGTATCATGCATGCTAAAATATAATGAATACATCAGAAAACTCCCAATATAACTTAGTTGTTCTATATGGCAGGTTCTACTCCTATCTCCAAAAACTAGTGTTATAAAACGGCACCAAATATTAAGTGAACTATTTTAGGAGATTTTGAAGTACAATGTCTAAAACACAGCAGTGTGATTATTTATTTGTTTCTTATTCATTTGTAATATTTTTAATAATTAAACTTAAAGAAAAAAGAAACAAATTTAAATACTAAAACTAAAAAAAATACAAAATAAGCAAAGAAAAAAAGCATTGTCATGCTAATAGCAGAATATGACAGAGTATTCAAAATATGCCGCAATAAATTTCCATTTCAAGAAAGTGTATATAATAAATACGACTCATTGTGTTGAGATCTGTCCATCTTCTCTTTGCTTTCTTGTAAGTTTTCTTTACTTCTCTGCTGTGCACTTTTCACTTTGTTCTTTTTCCCCTTCCTCCCCACTCCCCACCACAGAATGCTACAATTATTTGTGTACACATGCATATATATATATATAGAGAGAGAGAGAGAGAGATGTATGTTTCTATGTATATATATATATGTGTGTTTATGTGTATGTGTATGTGTACATATGCACAAATGTATTTATAAATATATATACATATGTAAATGTATATATACTTATGTGTATACATAGATGTATATGTGTATGTGTGTATGTGCTGTGTGTCCATGGATAACTATAAGAACTATAAAAGAGGAAGCTGCTTGGAGATCAGATCACCCAGCTGTGATTATGATGGCTATATGTGTCTTATCTTTTTCCAAAGTAGTCTTACAAATGATATAAAGACTCATGAGTAGAAATATATGACATACTATGACTTCTCTAGAAGATAAAGAAGTCCAACACTTTTACCAAATCAGGTAAAATAGAAAAATGCAAATCCAAGACCAATCCATAGAAGTATCCTGTGTCTTATTAAATGGCTGCACTGCTGTGCCAGTAGAATGTTGACATTTTAAAGAAATGGTTGCTGAGTGATGATATTATGAGGATCAATAGTCAGAAAATGTACAGTGATTTCAACTCAATTCAATTAAATGAATATGTATTAGTTGCCTATTAAGTGGCTAGGGATATGAATTGAATAAAATTCTAAGGATCTGAATTCAAACTATAATTTACTATTGCATTTGTGGATATGAATACATCTCCCTTTCATCTGATTTGTGCTTGTCGGTAAAATGAGGAATACAGAGTAGAATATGTTTGAAACCCATTCTAGCTTCAAGTTCTGTACTGAACTATCATTGCTGTCAAGGGATTGCTAGCAGGTTAGAGGGAATCAGATAAATACACATTTCTCTATCTCTTGCTACAGAGCTTTGTTAGTAATTTACAAAAATGCTGATGATTTATGTGGGTTTATTTTATATGCTGCAAGTTCAGTGAAGTTAAGTATTTCAAGTAGTTTTTTAGTTGATTCTCTAGGATTCTCTAAGTATAACATGATATTAACTACAAAGAATGATAGCTTTGTTTCTTCATTGCCTATTCTAATTCCCTTGATTTCTTTTTCTTCTCTTATAGTTAAAGCTAAAATTTCTAGTAAAATATGGAATAGCAGTGGTGATAATGGACGTCTTTCTTTTATCCCTGATCTTAGTAGAAAACCTTCTAGCTTATCCCCATTATTTATAATGCTTGCTGATGGTGATAGATAGATGCTACTTCTCATTTTAAGAAAAACTCCACTTATTTCTATGCTCTGTAGTGTTTTAGTAGCAACAGATGCTGTATTTTGTCAAAAGCTTTTTCTGCATCTATAGAGATAATCATAGGATTTCTGTTAATTTTTTTACTGATATGGTTAAGTATGCCAATAATTTTCCTAATATGTAACCAGTCTTCCACTCCTGGCATAAATCCCACTTTGTCATAGTGTATTATCTTTGTGATAATTTGCTGTAATCTCTTGGCAAATATTTTATTTAAAAGTATTGCATTTATATTCATTATGGAAATTGGTCTGTAATTTTCTTTCTCCATTTTGGCTCTTTCTGGTTTAGGTATCAGCACCATATTTGTATGATAAAAACAATTTGGTAGGATTCCTTCTTTTCCTATTTTTCCAGATAGTTTATGTAGCATTGGAATTAATTGTGCTTTAAATATTGGGTAGAATTCCCTTGTAAATCCAGCTAGCCTGAAAGATTTTTTTCTTAGGGAGTTCACTGATGGCTTTTTCAATTTCCTTTTCTGAAATTGGGTTATTTAGGCATTTTATTTCCTCTTCTGTTATTTGGGCAATTTGTATTTTTGTAAATATTCATTCATTTCACTTGGGTTGTCAGATTTATTTGCATACAGTTGATCAAAATAGCTCCTAATCATTGTTTTAATGTCCTCTTCACTAGTGGTGAATTCACTCTTTCTATTTTTGATACCGGTAATTTAGTTTTTTTTTCTTCTTTTAATCAAATTAATTAAAGGTATATCTATTCTATTGCTTTTTTCATAAAACCAGCTCTTAGTTCTATTTATTGGTTCAATGGTTTCTTAATTTCAATTTTATGAATCTTTCCTTTGGTTTTCAGAATTTCTAATTTGGTATTTAATTGGGGATTTTAAATGTGTTCTTTTTGTAGCTCTTTTAGTCGCATGCCCAATTCATTGATCTCCTCTTTCTCTGTCTTATTGATGGAAGCATTTAGAGATATAAAGTTTCCCTAGAACTGCTTTGGCTGCATTCCCTAAATTTTGGTATGTTGTCTCGGACCTGGGCAAACTTTCTGCTGCATAGGGAACATCCTATCAGGAAACGTATGCCCAATTATCCTATTTCTTTTGGATGCTAGAATATTGAGAAACTGTAGGTGCTTTTGGTTTCATGAGGCTTGCAGGTAACAAAATGGACCAATTTCCCTCCACACCCTGGGATCCTCCTTCACAGAGAGACTCCCAGTCCCTATGCCCGGGCCTGCAGGATCCCCCTTCTCTTCTGGCCTCATGGCCTCTGGATCCTCAGCCTCTGCTGCCAGACTCAGTGGTACTTCCTCAACATTTGCCCCTAGGTTATCTTCTATAAAACTGGAAAAACTTGGTCCCCAAGACCTTCAAAAGGAATATGATCAGACTAAGAGAAGAGAGTCCTTGCGAATGGTAGGGAATTTGAGTCACCCTCCGTGACCTTTGAATTCATCCTCCCCCAGTTGGTGAAAGTAAGGAGGGAGGAACGGCAACAACTACAGCTGGGGGCCCCACTGGCAATGGCTCTGGGCCCCTCGGCACCCTGTAGCCCACCAAGAAAGCATGGAAGTATCACCCGTGTTCATCAATCTTGCTCACCTCCCTGCCACCCCAGAAGCTACAAGCAACATGAGCTGCCCTGGGGACAGAGGGAAGGGGAAGGGGGATGGATCAAGGCACTAAGAGGTAAGAAGCCAGCCAGCCTCTGCACTTGGTAAGCCCACTCGTTTAAAGTTGTGGTTTCAACATGTTCATTATGAGACATCGATTTTCTGTGTAAAGTAAATTGCAAATTCATTCAACAAGATTGAAATCACCTGATTGATAATGGGCTTGTTTCAGGTCTCAAACTGGTAAACTTTTGCATCAGCTTTCTCAAGCCACTTTTCCTAACTTGGATGTTATTAGAGTATGAAATGAGAGCACCTAAAAAAACAGTGGAAAAGTTATTTCCCTCCTAACCCTGTCTTATAACATTTTCTAATGGACATTTAGAAAACTAAGTATTTGGTATTGTTTTTACTGCTAAAATGTAAAATTGGTCATTGACTACTCAGTATGTGTGTGGAAAGGAGGGGATGAGGTGAAAGCCTTATCCAGATTGGTTCTGCCCATTCAGAGCAGTCCTCAGGACTAGTGAAAAAGCACAGCCCAGAGCAGCTCTAAGGGGAGATTGGGGTGATAGGCAGCCCCTGCTCTGGGGTCCCTGTTGATCCCCTTTATTTTGTAAACTTGCCAAGGAGGTTGTTTGGATGATGGAATTCTTAAACAATAAACTTGGCTTGCTGAGAATTTGCAAGTTTCTGTAAGTGACCTCTAACAATTGGCTTTTATACCAATTATATACAAATTTAAATTTGAAATGTAAACCCTGGTAAATTTTTCCCAAGCTGTGATTAGTGAAACTTGCTGTTTGAGGTAAAAGCTCTTGGGACTGTAACGATTTTATTTGGAGTAGTCTGAGGGATCATAATAATCCATCAATAATCAATAGTCAATAATCCACCATCTGAGAGAAATGCCCAGAAGCTACCCAGAGACAATGTGATACAAGTGGAGGTCTGCATCTGGAAAAGCTGAGAGGACAATCTTAGCCTCAGTCTAAGGTGGGATCCTCCTAGCTCACTTTCCCCACTGTGGTCCTTTGAAAAAGAATGTTTCCCACCTGGCTATTCCTGATTCTGGCTATGAGGTGGAAATGATACTGCATGGTTGGAAAACTGTGAATTATGTGAATTCAAACAGAGTTAAGGATATTTTATCCTGTGATATTTGGTATAGACATGTCCCGGTTTCATCCTTTTATTGCAAATTTCTCTAATCAGAGCAAATGGACAGTAAAAGATAGGAGCACAATGCAAGTATGTGAGATCTTGCTGTTTGGACTTGAATGTGTAGTCATTCTATATCCCAAACAACTGGGTAAATTAGTACTCGGGCTTGTCATCTGACTGCCTGTGTCGTCATGTGAATCATTACCCTATAGACTAAAACTGGAATACACATTGCTATGAAAGACTAAAATCAATCAGAAATATCTTCAGTTCAGTTTGGGAAAAAGAATTTCAGTGCAATCCATCTTCTTAGAGGGAGGTACTTTGTTTCCTCCCATTCTGACATCACTTTTAATTCTCCTTGTATTTGGGCCTCATATATTGAACCTCCTGGCCAGATTTGTCTCCCCCAGGGTCCAGGTCACCAATTTCCAGATGACTGCTCAGGCTGCATACCAACCTTGGAACTAATCAAAGGCCCCTAAGACCCTGGACTTAGCATCAGCCATGTTCCGAAGTCTGACTCCTGGAAAAGGACCCAGTGAGGCAGGGACAGCTCTATGCCCATGGCCAGCAGGAAGCAGTTTCAGAAGCTAAGACCTTCACCCCTTACCCCAAAAGATTTGGGTCCCATTTGTTTGAAGGGAAAATGATGGCCTTATAGGACCTAGACCCCTACACTGAAACTTATGTTTGGGCATAACATTGGCTCAATTCCCAAGCTCATTACTAAGGGAAAAACCAAAAATAACCACCAATCTGTAGTGATGCACTCTCCAGCTCCTCCTCCCTTTGTCTGTTTTCTATAATCACCACTGGGATTTTTGAGTCTTGGCAGGGATCCACTGAAGTGCTGGCCACCACCCAAACTGAAGATTGCCCCTGTTTGTAAGTATTCATAATGATTGAATAAACTACTACCTATTGTCAATCTGGAAATACTTGGCCTCTTCCTTTGGTATCAAAAGAAAACCCCATGGTCATGAGGGAAATATGGGGCTCCCCAGCCAGAGGCATCCTGGACCTGAAGATTGAGGACAAATTCACAAGTACTAATTTTCTACAAAGAAATGCTAAATTTCATTTAGAGGTTAGTGAAAATAAAGATGTAATTTTATTTTCCTTTCAAGTTCAGAGACCCTGTGAAATCAATTCTTGGGGGACCACGGGCCCAAGGTTAAGATCTTTGGTGTAAATGAAAAAAGAAAAATAAAAGAAAAATAAAAATATTCCAGAGAGGGTTTGCCCTTTTTTTTTTTTTTGCTGGTGGAGCAGAAGGGTGAGGAGATAGGATGGAGAACTAGTTAAAAACTAGTTTTCTCAGTTTGAATTAATCTCCTGTAAAGTGTAATACTACTTTGGATCTGACAGCCTTCTTTCCAGCTGACTTGCCAGCTCAGTATTAGTAGAAAGAGATATTTTCCAAATGGCTTCAGAAATACTCAAAGAATTAACATTGAATGATAGTTACTCATTTAGGGCTGTACAGTAATGGTTGTGAATGCTCTTGAAGGTATCCCAGATTCTAGATTTAATCAAGGTTTCAGCTTAATGCGGTAATTAATCAAAGATACCTTATTAATGTACTAAAAGATCCTTCATCAAAAGGGAAAGGACCTGTATGTACAAAAATATTTATAGCAGTTATTTTTGTGGGAGCAAAGATTAGAAATTAAGGGGATGCCCATCAATTGGGGAGTGGCTGAACAAGTCCATGGTGTATGGGGGATAGTTTCAGAAAAACTTGGGAAAACCTATATGAACTGATGCAAAGTAAAGTGAGCAAAACCAGAAGGTCACGGTAGACATTAACGGCAATGTTGTAGTAATGATCAACTGTGAAAGATTTAGCTCCTCTAGTCAATAAAATGTTTCATGACAATTCCAAAGGACTTATCAAAAAGGCTATCTCCCTCCAGAGAGAGAACTGATGTACTCCAAGAACAGATTGAAGCATACTTTTTTTCACTTTCTTTTTCTTTCTTTTATATTTTTATTGTTTGCAACCTGGTAAATGTTTTGTGTGATTTCATATGTATACTTGGCATTCAATTGCTTACCTTCTCAGTAGTGGAGGACAGGTTAAAGGGAGGGAGAGAATTCAAAACGTGAAAATTATTCTAAAGTGATGTTTAAAATCAGGCCTGCACAACGTCCTACCCTATGGCTGTTTACAGCCCTTGGAGTATTTGGGGCATGCCAAAGAATTTCCTCCACATACAAAGGATGTTTTCCTCTACTTTTTTCTTGGGCCACTTGAAAACCTTTAGTATGCCACAAGTGACCCAAAGTCTGTTAATTTCTGTTAATTTTGTTACTGACATGGTTAATGATATTGATAGTTTTCTAATATTCAAGCAGTCCTGTATTGCTGATGTAAATCCCACCTGGACATAGTGTATTATCCTTGCCATAAGTTGATATAATCTCTTGGCAAATATCTAATTTTACATTATTGCATTCTATTCATTAGGGAAATTGGTCTATAATTTTCTTTCTCTATTTTGACTCTCCCTGGTTTAGGTCTAGGTACCATATCTGCATCATAAAAAGAATTTGGCATGACTTTTTCTTTGCCTATTTTTCCAAATAGTTTCTATAGTATTGGAATTAATTGTTATTAAATGTTTGGTAGAATTCACTTGGAAATCCATTTGACTGGGAGACATTTTCTTAGGGAATTCATGGATGGCTTGTTCCATTTCTTTTCCTGAAAATGGGTTATTTGGATATTTTACTTCCACTTATTTGGGCAATTGATATTTTTGTAAATATCCATCCATTTCACTTAGATTGTCAGATTTCTTGGCATACCATGGATCAAAATATCTCCTAATCATTGTTTTAATTTCCCCTTCATTAGTGGTGAATTCATCCTTCTAATTTTTGATACTGGTAATTTGGTTTTCTTCTTTTTTAAAATCAAATTAACCAAAGGTTTATCTATTTTATTGCTTTTTTTTTTTCATAAAACCAGCACTTAGTTTTATTTATTAGTTCAATTGTTCTCTCAATTTCAATTTAATTAATCTCTCCTTTAGTTTTCAGAATTTCTAATTTGGTATTTCCAATTTGTTGTTTTTATAGCTCTTTTAGTTGCATGTCCAATTGTTTGATCCCTTCCTTCTTTATTTTCTTCATATAAGAATTGAGAGATATAAAACTTCCCCCCAAGGACTGCTTTTACTGCATCTCCTAATTTTGATGTGTTGTGCCATTATTGTCATTGTCTTAGATGAAGAGTCTTCTTGTCTTTCCCCAGCATGGTCAGTATGGAGTGTGTCGCCCGCCCTTTTAAAGTGCTACCTATGGTGTTGTATTAGTAGGATTTAGTGAGGTTCGGATTCGCTCCTATAAATGACACTCTCCAATGCACCAGAAAATAATAGGAAATAGATAATTTATTTAGAAGAAGTAAAGCACAGATAGTTTGAATTTGCATAGAAAGCATAAATAATAAGAACAATCAATAATATAGCACCGATCAAGAGAGTCGGTAATGGAAGAGAGTACATCACCAATTCAAGGGAACCTCCAAAATCAATCAACGGCTGGGAGCCCCGTTGCAGCCTGTACAAACTTGAATTGTGTAAAGATTTTCCCGGGGCGAAGCGTCCTTCCCGCGGGTGAGGCTCAGCGGGCTTACAGGACGCAGTGTTTTTATATTGTTCTAAACAAAGAAGGCTTGGGGCCAAGAACCCCTTTTTGATGCTTGCGCTATTCATGGTTTGTCCAATACACATCTGACCTTAGCCACGCTCCCATCCGCCTGAGGCTTGGTATTTTGTTTTTTAATAACATCACGTCTCACAAGGAGAGGAGCCGACCCTCCATGTCAACGTGACCTAGGAATGGCTAGTTCCTGGAATGCTAGGCCAAGAACACTCAGGAGATATGGAACGGTCATGACCGAGATTTGAACTGAACCTATTTATTTGAGTGATCTTATTAATTTAAAGGGGAATTTCCAATTTCCATTTCAGGTGTGGAGAGGAAATTGCTTCAAGGGGCGCTTCATAAATGCTGCTTGACTTAACTTCACAGTTGAACTAACTACCTGTGCTGCTAGGATCCAAGAAGGTGGGCTTTATTTCTAAAAAGATCATCAAAACACAATGTTTAGATTGTAACTGTTGCAGTAAGTTGTGCTTATATACACATGTACATAAATATATATAATTATATCAATATATATATGGAAATAAAATCTTATGTAACAAATATATTTATATATGTAACAAATATATTTACATATATATAAATATATATAATTTATATAAATATATATGTAAATAAAATCTTATGTAAGAAATATATTTATATATGTAACAAATATATTTACATATATACATATATACTGTACATCTATATAAACAAATATAAATACTATGATATATGAATCTTATATATATTAGATTATTACTTTAACCTATACACGAGTTATAGGCATTGATTGTCGTTCATATTTCATTCTCAGAGAGAACCAGTGACAACAGGAGTGTGATATCTTGACTTGTGAGTGAATTAGATTCAAGTGAGACAGAACTGTGCAAAGTCTTCAGCTCCACTCTCTGCTCCAGAGTTGTCAGAGTCCAGGGCAAGAGACAGGTCAGCACCGCTGGAGGTGGCCCCAGCTGCAGTGGGAAACCCTCAGAATTTCCAGCCGGAATCGAAGGTGCCCAGTAAGTGAGGGTAGGCTTTGACAGTTAAAACAAGTGATATCTGAAAGCAATAACATCAGTCATTGACATCTTTGTTCTAATTAAGCAGTTCCTGAGCCCAAAATCTTGCCAGTTATGCAAAATTTGCTGAATGAGAAGGGACAAATGTATAATACAATGTAGGGATAATGTAATCTAAACTGGGATTTTGTCTAGGAGGGAAGACTTGGATGTGAAGTTTAATGACAGTCCCTTAGGTGGTAGAGAGCCACTGGGCATCTCCTTCAAGAGGAAGGAAGGTGACAAAGAAATGTAGGTGGAGGGAAAGGGCCAAAAGAAGATGGTTCCTGAAGACAAACTTTACCTCCTTCACAACTAAGTATGGGCCCCTCCCTATTTAAAATACATCCGTGTATCAGTACTCATGCTTCTTACAGTATAGGATTGTTCCAACTGGAGAGGACTTTGTTCTGGCCTCCTTGGGATAGTTCCAAGAAAGAGTCTTTGCTCTGAGGGTTCCTCAACGTGACTATCCCTGATTCAGGTAAAATGGTAAAGCATTTAAATTTGTGCTCCTTCAACGGTACAGACCTTGAAGAGAACAAAAGAGTGCATTAAACAGGCCAGGTATCCCTAGGAAATTTGGTGCTGTAATGAAGCAATGTTTGTTTTTGGTGTCCTCTACTTTCCTTTTCAGCGTTCTCCACAGGGGTAGCCAGCACCCCACTACCTCATTGTCAGACCCCACTTTGTCCTACCCTCTCCAAATCATCTCTCCTCCAACCTTCGATCAAAGCCTTGCTCAGGCCCAAAGGTTCTAACACATCCCTACTATATGCCAGAGCAATGCTAGACCAATTTATTCTATTATCCTAATGACTACTAATGTAATACTGTTCTCAGCATAAGGAATTTGCAAGATGAATCCAGTAGAGATGATTCTTGCACTACATAGTGAGTGAAGGGTCAGAGTGGGGTAATAGATTGAGACATTTTAGGTCTTTTGGTGCCTGTCCCTCAAACACTGATGACTTAATAATAATAATATCTTCAGACAGTTTAATCTTTTGCTGTTCTCAGTATCCCTTCAGAGGTGTTATCATCTTGTCTAATTTGATCCTCCTCATACTGCTGTGAGGTACAAAGAGAAGCAATTATTACTTCCTAGTTTTCGGCTAAGGAAACTGAGGCTCAAAATTTGTAACATTTTCCCAAGATTATACATCACATAGGGACCTTCCTATTCTGACTCTTCTGAGGTCTGACCCTGTATATGGTGATGGATTCTTTGAGGATACTCTTTAATTTTTCTTTTTTATGAACTTTTTGTGCTCCGAAGGCAAACTTTTCTTAATGAGAGTTTCACTGATTTTGCTTCTGAGAAAAAAGCCCGGATGTGAAGTATTATGGCCACTAAAATATATTGAAGGTATCTGAAAAGTCCCAATATAACTCAGCTGTCTTTTATGGCAGGTTTAGTCCTATCCCCAGAAAGTAGTGCTATAAACTGAGTACTAAATAATAAGTGAAGAGCTTTTGGAGCCTTTGAAGTAGAATGTCTCTGATACAGTATTGTGACTATTCATTTATTTTCATTTGTGATATTTTTTAACATTAAATTTGAAAACAAAATAAGAAAAAGAAACAAACAAAATAAGAAAAAAATTGTCATTTGCACAGCAGAAAGTGAGAAAGGATTCACAAAAACAGCAATAAATTTCTGTTTGAAGAAAGCATATATAATAAATGCTACCCATTCTGTTGGGAGCTGCCATCTTTTCTTTGCTTTCTTATAAGTTTCCTTTTCTTCTCTGCTGTGCACTTTTCATTTTGACCTTTTTTTCCCTCTTCCTCCCCATCCACTGTTATACCCAGAAATTTAGCGAGTTAGACCCAGGCTAATTTTAAATTGTGGACCTTATTATATTAGTGCGCAGCTGCCAGGGGTATTCACATCCAAATCAAGAAGCCCCCATGAGGGGTCGAGCTAGGGTTTATATAGGGAGTATACAGGACAGGGAGGGGGATGGATCTTTGAAGTCTGGCAAGAGGAAGAGTTGTTTTGGGCTGGTCAAGGACACCCCTCTCCCTCTGTCTAGATATGATAATGCTCTGCAAACTTTCTCACAATGGAGGCTTCCAGAGATATGATCTGGGGGCTGTGGCCTGAGCAGTCAGATAAGGGTCTTGCTAAGGAATTTGGAGTTTTCCAGAGATATGATCTGAGGGCTGGGGCCTGAGCAGCTAGATAAGGGTCTTTCTGAGGCCCATGCATGAATACTGCTAGGTACAGTGTCCCTGGGCTGGGGAGTGGTTGTTAGAGATAGTGTTTCTGAGACTAGGGAGGCATTTTTGGGGCAAAAGTATAAGCACAAGCATCTGAGCACCCCATCAGCACAGGTCAGGGATCACACAAACCAGACCAGGTGTCCTGGTTTCTGGTATAAACATAATTATCTAAAGCCATTGTATTGCATGTTTTCTTATCCATTTGCGTTGGAGGTATGGGCTGTGCTTAAGCTACACAAGAGTACATTTCACTATTGTTTAGATTTAGGAGGAAAGAGGTCTAGGGCAAGATTAAGCAGCAACTTCTGTTTTCCATGGCCTAAAGGGTTCTACTACCTAAATGGCAAAATAATGTTCTGCATTACACCACCACCACAGAAGACTACAATTAAGAAGGGATAGGTATATATACAGAGAGAGAGAGAGAGAGAAAGATGTATCTATGATGTATGTATGGATATGTGTGTCAGTGTGTGTATGTGTATGTGTATGTGTGTGTATATATATATGTGTGTGTGTATGTATATATATGTGGACCCACATATCAATATATACATGCATAAATATATATAGGTTTATACTATACATACATGTACATATGCATACATGCATATATGCATTGTGTATATATTTATAAATGTGTGTGTATATATGTTATAAGAACTATAAACCAGGAAGCTGCTTGGAGACCAGATCACACAGCTGTGATTTTGATGGCTATATGTCTCTTACTTTTTTCCAAAGTAGTCTTAAAAATGATATAGTGACTTGTAAGAAGAAGTATATGATATACTCTGCTTTTTCTAACAGATAAAAGAGATCAAGTTTTGTATTGTATCCAATAAAAGAGGAAAATGCAAATCCCAGATCAGTCCATAGAAGGATCCTGTGTCATATTAAATGGTTGCGCTGCTATGCCGGTAGAATGTTGACCTTTCAAACACCTGATATGGATAGGCCACGTTCCATTGCATTTCTTTTCATTAATGCTCTTGATGTTCTGGACTTTTTGTTCCTCCTGATGAATTTTGTTATTATTTTTTCTAGCTCTATAAAATGATAATTGGTAGTCTGATTGGTATGGCATGGGATAAATTAATTTTGGAAGAATTGTTATTTTTATTAGATTATCTCAGCCTACCCATGACCTGATATTTTTCCAATTATTTAGATCTGACTATGAGAGAGGTAAGAAATGATTATATTTCCATATGAGGAAATTGAGAGAAAAGGTAGCTCTAGGTGAGAGGTTCTAGAACCAGCTAAAAGTGGATGAAACTGGTTGTTTGGTTAAAGAGGCTGGAAGTAGGACAAAGGTTAAGCTTTACTTAGAGTGTGCATGCATAATGCGTTCATTGATACTAAACCTCTCTGCCTAGAGGGGAGCAGTAGCACAAAACTAGGCACATTTCCTATGTTAACAGGAGGGAGGACATGTTGTGAAGTGGGAGTATCAGGAAGATTGTAACCCAGAAGAGCAGAGCCAGCAATCCTGGCTCTGAAGGGAGGGACAAGAAAACTAACTGCATAAAAGGCTTGCTCCAGCTTCTGTCACTGTGTGTGCATTTCTGTGTGTGTGTGTGTGTGTGTGTGTGTGTGTGTGTGTGTGTCTGTGTCCCTCTGGGTACCCATGCACCTGCTTCTTGCAAGAACTGTAAATAAACATTTCCTTCACTCATTTCAGTTGAAGTTTTGTTTCTTAAAGGAGGACAGAACTCTGATGGTTTGCAACCAAGGAAGCAGTGGACTGAGAAAGCTCGCCCTTAACTCCCTAACCTCACCAAGGAATGTCTGAACCCCCTTCTGTATTTGTGTGAAAAGTGTTTTGTAATTGTGTTCATCAACTTCCTGGGTTTGTCTTGGCAGGTAGACTCCCAAATATTTAATATGGCCTACAGTTACCTTAAATGGAATTTCTCTGTCTCTCTTGCTGCAGGGCTTTTTTAGTAATAGATAGAGATGGCAATGGTTTATGTGGGTTTATTTTATATGCTGCAACTTTGCTAAAGTTGTGAATCATTTTGAGTAGTTTTTAGTTGATTCTCTAGGATTCTCTAAGTGTACCATGATATCATGTGCAAAGAGTAATAGCTTTGTGTCTTCATTGAGTATTCTAATTCCTTCCATTTCTTTTTCTTCTCTTATAGCTAAAGCTAATATTTCTAGTACAATATTAAATAACAGCGGTGATAAATGGACAACCTTGTTGTACCCATGATCTTATTAGAAATGCTTCTAGCTTATCCCCATTACTTATAATGCTTGCTGATGGTGTTAGATAGATGCTATTTATCATTTTAAGAAAAACTCCG